TCATTTGCTAAGCAAATTATGAAGCGAAGGGATTGGTATGAATGCATGCATACATGGGTACACATATGCAGCCGTATCTTCGGTAGCGGTGATTGGCAAGATGCCTACGGGAAACTCGTCCGAAATCGATTTCTGAGAACGGAGGCTTTTTCTTCGCAGGATTTTGACCGTTTCACTCCGTTCTTTCGCCATTTCCCCACTATGCACTACTAGCATTTTAGGCTAAGTAGGAAACCATCGTGCCAACTGCATTCAAAGGACGCCTTAAAGACAGCCCCACTCTATTCAAGTCCACAGTGAGCGGGGAGCGAGCTACAGCCGCTCAAAGTTCTAGTTCTAACGCCTGCTCAGTTGGACCGCCTTACTTGCTAGATGCCCTCCGACGAGGCCACTCAGTTGTTCTTAGTTGGGGCGGCGGGCATTAATCGGAATTGCATCTCCTTTTTGCTGACTCGTGCCCATGGATAATTCTGCTCTCCTTTATTACAGTTTACTCAATGGGGGCATATACATTCAACTCAACCCATTTCGCGAGGTGAAACGCGTAAAAATCACGAGTGACGCAATTTTCGTGGTGCAAAGCTCGACGCACTTGAAGAGAGTCGGTGTCCACACAGATCAGGCATCCAGCCGGGAGAAATGGCGTGACGAAATCAGAAAAGCGGACCTCTCCATAGAATGGGACAAACGCTGAAAAATAAGGGAGAACTGGAAAAAAAGGCCTGCCGAGTTCTTGTGCTCTGAACTTCCATAACATTCGTAGTATGCGATCATTATTCGAGTATCTTCGCTTTTCAGAACGTAATACATTTTTTGAATATCCCCTCACTCGCGATATTTTGCATGGATTTTTGATAGGCAATATTCTGATCCACTCAAAAACTCGATCCTCTTGTGCCGTTATGACAAAACTCATTAGGATTAGGAAACCTTACCTTAACCTTAAAAGATCCGATTGACTGGAAAGGCTCACTACTCCTTCTGTTTGAGAGTTCTTCAATACTGACCAACCCTGCTCTAACGACGCCCTCCCCCTTCCATAGGATCCATCGATGGGGTTCCGCCAGCGATGATGTACACTGATAGAACACGGCACCCACGGCAATGATGGGCGGACGGTAGCAGGGCATCCACGGCAGACTCCGCAACTGGGTGAGAACACGGCATCCACGGCAATGTTGGGCGGACGGTAGCACGGCACCCACGGCAAAGACTCCGCAATTGGGTGAGAACACGGCACCCACGGCAAAGACTCCGCAACTGTGTGAGAACACGGCATCCACGGCAATGTTGGGCGGACGGTAGCACGGCACCCACGGCAAAGACTCCGCAACTGGGTGAGAACACGGCACCCACGGCAATGTTGAGCGGGCCACCTCACGGCAAGAGCTTCTAAACGAATGCAGGCTAGGATACACGCGTCAAGTTTGGCAAGGAGGAAACCATTCAGTAACGGCACCATGATCCCGAGCGCATGTAGGCAGGAGCGACATTGAAAGCTTTCCATTAAAAGGGAAACTGGAAGAGTAAGGATAATGGATGGCAACACGACAGGGCGTCGGATGGCACCAATTTGGTTTGCAGAAAGGCACGGACCGGACTTCAGCCAAGCATCATATTTGGCTCACAGGGGACACCCGAGGCATAGAAGTCCTCACTCAATTGAGTGAGACCACGGTGAGCTGGGCAACTTTGAACTGCAATCAGAAACAAACAGAAAAGAATATTTGAAGAAAAAACACTCCAAAACACAGATGCAAGTCACAGCCAACTGAACCAAGTCGCCCTACACCCATGTGCGAGCAGGTGATTCATATTCGTTTCGCCAACTAAATCGCACATACAAGAAAGGGGTGTGAAATAGGAATCTTTGACGTAGGCTGCATACCACAAATTTGCGGAAAAGTTGAAAATACCTAGCTGACTAGCTCCAGCGGTTGGGCTTAATCAACCTTTCTCTTCCCGTGCATAGCTGTGGTGATAGTCAGCAACTCAATGTTGCATTTCTTCTTCTTGACGGATATATTCATTCTCTATTCATTTTTTCAAGTCTTTCCTTTTATGAGCAATAGAGAGGTACTTTTTCAGTAAATTTTCCCACCATGGAAGTCGCTCCGAATCAGATGCGTCCAGTGAGGGAGGTGCAATTGCGTTAATGTGAATTCTACTGGGGAAGTCCGTCGACTTGTCTGCAAGTGGTACTCGAGAGGTGAAATTGGCAGAAAGCCTTCCTCACCCGAGTGCCTCAATGAAATAATGCGTTACGAATGCCAGAGCTGTCGGTATAGATTGTCACCTTCGCCCAAGAGGAGGTGGCGACGACGAATATTTGACGTGACAGGATACCACTTGTGATCAATCTAAATTAGCGCTGAAAGCACTGGCAAGGGCAAAAGCAGTGGTTGGAATATTCAAAAATCAGTTTCTAGGAAACAGTTTCTTCACGAACTGAGGTGATCTTTCTTTATGCGTGGGTGCTGCGTTCTCGTGGAAACAAAATGAAATGCACAACTGCCACGGCGCTGTATGGTAAACTCCACATCCCCAACACGAAGTAGGCGTGGCTGTCCTCAGCCTTAAAGTCCTTGTTTGGAGGCTTCTGTTTTTGATGCTTCTTCGGACAATTACAAAATTACTGGATAATGCCTCTTATACATGAAATCATACCTCTAAAAGTATTTGGCACACTTGTCCCATACACAATATTATGGCATCGGCTGTTCCGGATACTGTAACCGCACGTTCTGTTGATTGTGGAAGCATTTCGGACGCTACTTGAATGGACGCACCTGTCGCCTGAAAGTCACGAAAAACTAAAACGAAACCGTTGAGGTAATTGGATGTCATCTCTCCTGGGCATTAGATAGTTGCGCTAGGATTAAGAGTCATCCTGTGATCGCGCAAGTGCTAAGCGCGGTTCCTTAGCAGAGGCTTACATGCAAAATACCCTTAATATACCGTTTCCACATCTTTTCCCTTGGATTTGCAGCAAGTGCCTCTTACCTGTTTTATCACATCATCACACTGATAGACATCATTCCTTCGAGTACAGATTAAGTAATAAGACCACCCAATGATAACCTCCTAGTATCCTAGCTCTTTGCTGAACCCATCACTAATCGATGTAAACCGAGTCACTGACCGTCACATTGACTTGTGGCCTACTAGGTCACGTAGGCATGGCTATGGCGTCAGTTTAAGCCCTTATGAAGTCAGCCGATGGGTAACCCCCTGCATGTGTAACCCATACTCTTTCACTTTACACAGTTCCTTCACAGGAACTGTGTAAATTTCAAATCTGCTCATCACCCGACGATTCCCATCGAAGAAGTGGTTTGAAAGCTGTCAAAGTAAGATGATATCCCTGGTCTGTACGACTGGTTCCCATAGTTCCTCCATGCTAACGATGCACGAATAGAATCTCTTCCCATCACACTTCGTACCACGTAAAAACTCAAACGATGTGATTCTAGGTCTCTATCACATCTTATGATCATCCCGTCTTGGGATGCCCCATTCATTCTATTCCCATTCAGAATCGTAGAAGGGGTTTGAATGCGGTTTGGCTTATACAATGACTAGTGAAAGCAGTGTCAATACTACTCTCCTCCCAGTCTATCATTACTCCTCTCCTCCCAATCTAATCCAGTCTGGTAGGGCAAGTCATTCCAACGCTAAGGGATGGAAGGCTTGGCTGATCTAGGATTTGATCCCATAACCGTAGGCGTAGTTAGGACCACCCTGCCCCTACCTGGCTTTCCTACATCCATCGCCGCTTCCTCACAGAGTTGCCAGACAGCGAAGATCTCGCCCAGTCGATGTCATTCATGGGTTTTTGAACCCAAGGATCTAGACGAGGTGTACAACAGCTCTAAGCCCTTCTCTAGGCTAACGACGCTTTTTAACGAAATTACGTAGGGGATTCGGCGAGTTCCTCTGTGAAAGTACAGATAGTAGTGTATTCGTTCGCCGCAGGTATAAAGTCTTGGTCCCTACGGGCACTGGCGCGTTTCAAGAGGGTGGAGCTGTTGACGGGGCGCCAGTATGTTCTCCACCTGTGATGGGAAGCGGCAGGCGACCATAACTGGCAGCATAGGCTGCGGCTGCCCCAAACCCACCCTCCTTGATTCGCCACAGCTTCCGCAGAGAAGAAGACTGAACCATTGTTGATGAAAGTATCTGATCTACACGCAGTAAGCGCAGTGAGGACAGAGTGTGAATTTGGGAGGCGAGGGGTCGGGGCTTTCACATTCCAAATATTTTCCAACTGTGCTAACTCGCTGCTGTCTAAAGAGTGATAGGAAAAAAATTTATTATCTTTACAGTGTGCTCTTTTTGTCTCATCCCTCTCTTGAAAGGAGTCCCTGAAACATCCCCGCAGAGCATCCATGTCTTTCCAGAAGTTTCTTGCTGTTCAATTTTTCTTCGAAGCTGCAGCCGACCTGAACCTTGGGCCAGAAGGACAGAAGGAATGGAAAGTTCTAACGCTCTCCAAAAACTCAAGAACGGGCTGAGGTAATGGAGACATTGGAAAGTAAAAACCTATTGTAGACATCAAGGGTCAGAGGAGGCAGCACAGTTTTCATTCAGTTTTTCCACTGATTCGAAACATCTGAGAACTCCCACTGGTTTTCCCTCAAGTTACAGTAGTCCATATTGAGTTCTATACGCCCTCATTTCTAAGAAAAAAGTTTGTAGTGATTAGCAATTCAGGTGTGGCTTTCGCCCAGCAAAGTCCAGAAGGTCTTGTCTTTCGCACCTTTGGAATATTTATTCCATCCCTTCCTACCTAGAAGTCATTGTACTTTCTAGATGAGAGTGTCACCGAATGGGGCTTTGTTTTGGGCCATTCGCTTCAGCGACGGCCCTGCTGACGGTTCATATTTTAGCAAAACTCTATTCAAAAGTACATCCTCTCGGGTTCTTCAAGCGCTCGTCACCACATCATGTTTCAGTCATGCGCGTCGCGGGCAAAAAACACCCAGGACTACAATTTCGGATTCACTGCCTCTGTTGTCGCGCCAAGAAGTAACGCTGGCGACAGATGGCCAGGAAAAAACTCCAAAGAGAAGGGCAAGAGATGACAAAAGTGTAATGACGGCCAAAGCAGTGAGATCTCCCCGCCTGTAATACCTGACGGATAAAGTCTGTGATCTGAGGTCGTAGCCCTCTGACAGAAGACAGAGGGCTACGACCTCAGATCACAGACTTTATCCGTCAGGTATTACAGGCGGGGAGATCTCACTCGAAGCTCGTCTTTATTACCACTCCAGCTGCTCGTGGTGGCCATGCTAGTCTTCAAGGTCGTAGTAGGAGAAATTTCAATGAAAAAACCATGAAAAACCTACCTCTCGAATTTCTTTAATTTTTGAACCACTTTTTCCTATAAGTGAACCGCATTGCGTTGCTGGAACGATTAATCGCATCGTGATCGGTGGCTTTGGAACAGAATTTGGTAAAGCACGCATATCCTAAAAAAACACCTTCTTCATTATCAGGAAATCATTTTCATTTTGGATTCCACGAGCCAAGCCCTGGACCTCAATAGAACCCTTATTTCTTGAACAATTTTGAAGATTCAGCGGCTTTCTAGTATTAATAAGCTTCACTACTGCAGCCCTCTAGACATTTGGGAATGTGCCATGCATAGTACACCTCGTCAAAATCGGAAGCTCAACGAGCGTAAAGGGTCTGAAGCGCATGTTCTTCTGGAGCTCTAGCTATTTCGGAGGAGCCATAGTTCTTCTCAACTTGATTTGACTGTTAGTCCTTCTTTCTGAGCCAAAAAGAGTTCACACAGTTCAACGGAAAGTATCAATGAGATAGTGAGCGACAGATCGTCACTCTTAAAAACGTCCTGCCAACTTCTTTTTCGCATTTCAGTGGAGCTTTCGAGCTCCATTCCTCGTTGACTTAACCACCTTCTACCCACTCCCCTGTTGAGGAACAGAGTAGTGAGGACGGCTGTCCATGAAACGCTTGTTTATAACGCCAAGCTAATCTTGGCGTTCACGCGATGTTTTTGGACCTTTCGCCATCGTCGTCAATTCGCGATCGATAGCGCCTTGGGCAGGAGGTTTTGACATTTGATCCCGCTTGGCGAGCAGTTTATTTGAAATCCGAAGCGTCAAGGTGATGGGAAGAAAGCTCAATTGCTGAAACGTCCATTTTATCGCTACCCTTACCAATCCAACCTTGGCCAAATTCTACGAAAAATTATCAAGGGTGGCTGGGTTTTGCTTATTGGTTAATAAATGGACTGTCCAACAGCTTGAACGTTACGACTCCCATCTCAACAGCCCTGATCCTCATCCTCATGCAACACCCGCAATTTGCAAATAAAAACGTAAGTCAGCTCTATGTACCGTCGGAAGTTGATGCTTAGTGTTAATCCTCAAATCCCCACTGCAGTTTAGGTAAAGGAAGAATGTGTGGCGTATCCAGCGTAGGCGGTACCATTGTAATTTAGTGCTATTCAGTGCTCGTATCGTTAGCACTAATGCTTGTCTCGAGCACGAGCAGGATAGAAGGTGACGAGGGGCCAAACTGAATGGGGTTCTATTTCAGACCCGTCTCATGTCTGCATAATCGCAGCGCAGAAGAACACACTGCCATAGTCAAACTACTGAAATTTGTTCAGAAAAGGCAGCATGAAGTACCGGGCACACTAAAGCCCCCCCCCTCTTTTCTCATGCAGTGCCTGGGTATAGAAGCGCACGACCAAGCGCCCAAATTGATGGTATCCTCTGCGCGACCGCGGACCATGTCGCATTCGTATAGAATGACATACACATTCGACATCAGTTCTCAGAAGCATACAACCGCAGTTGGGACCAGGACTCATAATTGCGCTATCTAGAATGGCAGTACGTTCAATACGTTTTGTTCTTCGGCAACCCACCACCCCCCCCCACGATCTGCTCACGCCCTTATCAGATTTTCTCAAAATTTAGCTCGAGTGAACGTAGTGCGCATGAAGCAGGACGAACCAACAATCGAAGAATTTTCCGAGGCGGAATGCACCCCCTCCCCTCCCCTCCCCAGCAGTCGAATACGATCCTCCCCGCTGTGTTCAACGATGATGTACTGTGGTTCGAGGGAATTCCAAGCACCCCGCAATGGGCGTCTGGGCGGAGTTCAATGGAATCATCTCATCACGAGAAGCTTAGCTTTCAGGAACTCACATTTCAAAATGGTGGGGTCAACTCCTGAAGCTGGAACAAGCTCGCCAAGCCACAATGGTAAATGGTGTTTTTATCATTGCGTCACAAGAACTGACATGTTCGCTTTACAGGAGTCGACAGTGTCCACAAACATTGACATGTATCATTTCATAGCTTTACAAGATTTGCCAGGTCTTCACTTGATGACTGGACCGTCGATGGGAAGCATTAGGTTGTCCGGAAAGTTCTGCAGGTTTTGTGTTACTATTTTTTGTACATTCATTGCTGATTAAAAACTCATTCTCCCTTGCGTCTCAGTAGTACATCCTGAAGAGAATTCTTTGCGCTATCTGATGGTATAATTGCCGTTTCACCATTGCTTGATGAACCCCTTTTTTAGATTTTTTCAAGCATGTGAAAAGAGCACTTCGGACGATTTTTTTCTTCGACTATAAATTGGGGCAATCCGCAATCGAAACAGCTCAACAAATTAACCAGGTGTGGGGGCCCAATAGTGCTAGAGAAAGCACTGTGCGGCAATGGCTCAACAAATTTCGTTCTGGAGATTTCAGCCTTGAAGATGAACCTCATAGCGGTCGACCTAAAGCAATATCTGACGAGGATTTTAGGGGGATTTTGGAGGCTGACCCATCCCAAACAGTTCGAGAGATAGCAGAAGAGCTAGGCGTTGGCAAATCCACTGTTGCAGATGGTCTGGAACGCATTGGGAAGGTGAAAAAACTCGACAATTGGGTGCCCCACAATCGGAGTGACCGGCAGGAATCGGCACGTCTCGAGGTTCCTTCTGCATTGCTTTTGCGCAGCAGAAACGACCTGTTTTTGGGCCGAATTGTCACCTGTGATGAAAAATGGGTCATGTATGATAACAGGAGACGTTCCGGACAGTGGTTGGATTTCGACGAACCACCGAGGTAATTTTCAAAGCCGAACCCTCACGAAAAAAAGATTCTGGTCACGGCTTGGTGGTCATCGGCTGGTGTGATCCACTATAACTTTTTATCACCAGTATCCATAAATTGAAGGAATTGGGGGTTGAAGTTCTACCACATCCACCATATTCTCCAGACGAACTTCATCAATTAGGACTAGGCAAAAAAGACCTTCGTGGATTCTCGACCACCCAGTTTTTTCTTTGATGGGATTTCTCGACTGCTGTCAAAGTGTGCTGATTCGAATGGTGCTTATTTGGATTAAATCCGATGAGTGTTAAGAAAGTTATGATCGTTTAAAGTGAAACACTCGAAACCTGCAGAACTTTCCGGACAACCTAATAGCAAGAAAGCAAAATGCCACCCCCTCCGTCGCCGGCTTGCGCCGTGACCATCTCCATGTGCTTCGATTTGATTAGAGGTCAAGCTTATGCACCAGCTTTTCTCTGGCGTGATTTTCGAACGAAAAATTATCTCAACACAAGTGGAAGCTTCTGGGGACATTCGAGAGATTCTCTGCTAATGGATCAGGTGCAGCCGGTAGAGCCATGTCACGGCGATGGGGCCAAAGCGGCGACAACTGCGCTAAGACCCATGAATGCTACGGTCAACTAGCTAGGACACCCTAGCTAGTTTACGCACATCCCAGCACGTGTGCCCATCGTGTGCTGCACCCAGAGCCCGTCCAGGTTTAAATTAGATGCTCACCTCTTCAAATTTATTAGAGATCATTGCGAAGGCTTTATTGATTGTCGTCAAACTGCCGGTGATCGTTACTATCCGTTCCGGGCACGATCCATCCGATATATTGATTTTTGCGCCGGAATCTTCTCGAATCCTTTTGATTTGATCGCCCCGTTTTCCGATTATACTTCCAACCTCCTGCAAACAATCCGTGATTCTTCTATCGATGATTAATAGTTAACATTGAACTGTTCTAACCTTCCCTTGCATGAGCAGTCGAATGGTGAGCAACAAGTTCATATTTGGTTGGGCGCCCGGCGAACTCGACGACGACGGGTCAGCAGAGTGTTCGGACGAATTGCTGCAATCAGGGAGGGGTGAAAAATTGCCTAATTGACTGCTAATCTGAAGGTGTTTGCCATAAGTGGGAATCTTGGGCCGAAATACTTGAAATTCGAGCCTGTGACAATTTTCCGATCGATTGCATTTTTCCCGCGCAGCAACTTCGAGACCGCGCTGCGACCGCGCAGGTATGCTTCGACGGGCTCTTACAGGGCTATATCTTTCCTCCTACCGTATACTCTCCTGAAACTTCTTCAAGGCTCGATTTAGGGATACCTTGAAATTGAAAAATTTTTCAGTGTTTCTGCGTGGCGCAGTGCGGTCAATGGGCATTTTCGTTCGGGTGTCCTTTTCCCTCAGAAATCCGATGCCAATTAATAGCAGTTAGAACCTGAAACGTTGGCCGGTAGGGGGAGGGGGAAGGGAGCTGGGTACGGATCTGCTCTAGCGCCAGTGGGCACGCGACAGGCCACTTCGTGCTTTCGCACCCCTTTCCCCCTAGGAGGGTTCTCTCAAGGTATCAAAGTGTGTTCTGCCGCCCACTTTTCCACGTACAATTGTGTCGTAACCAGGGCACGTCGGACCTCGGAGGGTCTTCGGCCAGGGAGGGGGTTGTATTTGGTCGAGGGAAGAGAGGCGGTCCTGTTCACTCTTGAGGAATTGTTTTCGGCTCCTTCTCGAGTTTTTTCGTCTCAGGTGAGTTATATATCCCCACCCTTTCCCTCAATGGCAGTTTTTTTTTGGGAAATGTGGATGAACTTTTGTGGAAGTAAAACTCCGGAAAATTGATAGGGAAGCTGGGGAAAATTGAGGAAGCGGTACGTAGCGAATAGATAGCTGTTCCGAGGATCCTGGTCTTTGCCATATGCTAATAGAAAGGATCTATAGAACTGTGCCCCTTTTGCCACTCAAAAGCGCACGGAAATGAGGCTGGAGGGTAGCGGTAGCTGGCCACCATCCGGGGTCCCGCTCCCAGGCAAAGCACACAGCACGTAACACGCCGGACTACCACCTTTAGGCCTAGCCGAGCCAATTGCGCTTCTTGTCTTTGTCTCTCTCGCTTATTGAGGACAGTGCTGTTCTCTTCACTGTGTAAGCAGCTTGACGTTTATGTTGTTCGCTGCGGGACCTCGCCATCGACGCACATGCTGCACGTTGAGGACGTCGGGTGGAGACTCAAATGGCATACACCTTCCTTTGAATGCTAGCCTCATTTCAGCCCTGGTCCCTTTTAATACCGAAGGGAGCATACTTCGAACCTCTTCATCGCACATGACATAACGCGGATCCACCTCGACAGGTAAGCGTGCGGCTTCTTGTTGAAGTCAAAGAAGAATTTTCAAGGTTTGAGTCCAACGAAGCTCGGTCATGCGTCCAGTACCGTGTGCTAAGTGGGGGGAAGGGGGGGGGGTAGTTTCAATCTTCAAAAAATCTGTAATGAAGGGAATGCGCGGCGCCCTTTATTCTGTGGTAGGCTTATGGAGTGTTGACGTACGTCATCAATCCTGATGGGTAGAGTCCTCCAAACGCTCTTGACCCCTCCGCAGGTTCTTCAGGTCCCTTCAGACTCATTGCCCACCCTCCACAAACCGAATGAACTCCTCAAACTATTTCACCCAAAAGCTCAAGACTCCATTTCATATGAAAAGCAGCTCACATTTAGGTACAGATGCCCAGTAAGGCTTAAAATCGCAACTACTATCACTCAAATATCAAAATTCACTAAAAATAATATGCTTACCCGTTATAATTTTGTGAGGAGAGTCCTGCGGCAGCTGCGTATGCTGAGGTGGGCAATCCCATACCGTAATGTACATATGACCCGTTCAATATAGGATCCATCTGGAAAAAGTCATCAATTAATATGTCTTCGAGACGGTTGCTGATATGGAGGGGCAGTGTGCTGATAACGACCAAGGGCAGCCGTGTCGAGAGCTCATGGGAATGGTGGCACATACCGTACAAACAGAAAGTAATGCAGAGGAAATAACGAGTAACGAAATTAGCGCGATCAATGAAGTCGACCTCCACAAATAAAAGTGTTTTCTGAAATTCGGAATCGCAAAAGGGCCGTCTAAGTCCAGGGAGGGTCAAATACAGCCGTGAAGTTGCATAATCACCTAAAAAACCGAAGAGATTGGCTGTTCGCCCTCTATCATAAGAAACTTTTCTGGGCGCAGTTCGGCTTGTTGGGGACACCAAATGCCCAGATACCCAGCGAGGCTTGTACAAGCCACCTTGTAAAGACCTGTAAATTTCTGTAACTAGAGTGGCTCACTAATACCATTTCGTAGCTGCCCAAGTACGGGTATAAACCTGTGAATTGACATGTGCCAGCAAGGCGAACTAGCGGAAGTACAAAGTGCCCCTCCAAGCCGAATTGACCTTTAAGCAATTTAACTATGTTACCTGAGTACAGCTCATAACCCTAACGCTCTTAGTCTACATTCGCTATTACGCCACTTCTATTCCAAGATTAGCTTCTCTATAAAATAACAGCGATGAAAAATTCCTAAAAGAAAGATGAACGATGCGATACTGCTCTTCAATGGTTGATTAATAATCCTGTCCTAGCCATGGATCGTTCGAACATGGGGATCCCCACTTCCTCTGAAGGTGAAAACCAATCCATCGTCTAGGATGGATTATCGGGACAAATATGATGTTGAACGATGGCGAAACTAAGAAAAGCGAGCTATTTGTAAAGCTTACGATGTACTAGTGCTAAAATGAAAGGTACTAATTCATCAGTACGTGTTGGTGACGTCAACCCAGCCAGCCAGCTTTAAGACCATAAGCCGAAATGGCATGCCATGACCGCTTTTCGCCCCCATTTATGCTCTGAATCTCTGAATAGTGAGCAGCTCGAGACTACGCACGTTCACTGGGACGACCAGACAGCAAATTTCCGAACCTGATGACGTTCTCTAGGAAAAAAAAACAAAAAAATTACAAATGAGCCACCAACTAATTGACATTCGAAAGTAATTTCATCCGAGGAAGAGCTTCTAGTCAGGCCGTTCTTCATTTAGGCTGAACTTCTACAGGGAAAGCGTAGCACTGTGTTTGCCCTTGTGGCTAGATAACTCCGGATTACTGTAATGATTCAGAGTCACGGCCAAGAGGTTTTCCAGCTAATTCACTGAGGAGCTCTTTCAAAAGTAAAATTCCAATGAAATCATCACTGAGTGGCTAAAAACCTTTGCACAGTCAAAGATTAGTCCTGAGGTGTATCAGGACTTTAAATTGTGGCTCTCCAGATACAAGCAGTGTTCGAGAAACAACGCAGTTCGGCTTGGTGGGGGCACCGAATTCAACGAAGCCTGTTAAGGGCACTATGTGAAGACCTGTAAACACATGTGAACAATGTGGCTTACTTGCACCATATAGCAGCTTCACACGAGTTACAAAGCTCCACCAAAATGCGACTTGTGAACTCGTAAAGCCAGGGTCATTTCGGTGAGACCTGTTAGTTAACATGGACAGCAAGAGGAACTAGCAAAGGTGCGCATTGCCCCTCCCAAGCCGAAGGAACTCTTACAAGTCTATGAAGAAAGGTTCGAGAAAGAGTTTCAAAACAAAGAAAGATAAATTCAACAAATAATTATGAGAGAACAAACAAAGAAAAAGTGATTGATAGATACGAAAAATGTATTGATAAATCCATGTCCACCTAGTGGGAGCGTTGATAATGTAACAAATGGGTGCAATAGAGCGCTGTAAAGCAGTCTCTTCACATCGATGCCAACGATTTTTCCACAAATTATGGAAGCATTCGTTCCACTCATGTCTACTCTTTGAATTCTTGGCTTTTTCTAAAGAGTCGGACCTAAACAAGCCGCGGCAAACATCAGGGCCACCTAGCCTGCGGCATGTTCTTCGAGGTGGCCTTCTCGCTCCACCTCCTTGGGCGGCGACCTAGCGAATGTGATGGTGACGGCAAAAGCTTTATAATTCGAAAAACCTGAACTTTCTATCAGAAACCTTGATGACAGAAGGGGGATGGATATCTGGCCGACTGAGAGAGGAGTGGATGACCAACGAATAGCATCGATTGCTGTGTCATGGAGCCTGATTGACAAGCTGAGACACAGGGTATACAAAAATCAGCGCCATTCGGCTCGAAGGGGGCACCACATGGCGCGCAACTAGCCTGCACAAGCCACGTTGTGAAAAGCTGTACATTTTTGTGACCAAAATGGGTCGCAGCTTCACAAAAGTTTATAGGTCGAAACTTGTTGGTTGTGATGAACCAGCGAGAGGAACTAGTGATACAGCAGAATGCCCCCTTCAAGCGGAAAGCTCGAAAATTCTTGAGTCTCCAAAAAGATTGCAGTCGATAGTTCGAGGATTCCAATCATTCAAAGCTATATCAAAAGGGAAAACTTTAGCCTTCAGCTTCCCCTAGCTCGGACTGACCTTTCTAAACACTTAAAATCCTGTCTAGACTCAGGGGCTACTTTCTCACACCCTTCCACTGCGTCGGCGCTTTCCGTTCAGCATAAAATCATCGGCTGTAACGCTCTAAGAAAGTTCTTCAAGGAAAGACAGGAAGGGGACAGCTAGTTGGTCAAAACAGTAAATTCTCACAACACTGCCAAAACCTGGATTGGCATCCGTTCCACTTAGTCCTTCTTCACTTGGACACTTACAGTCTTGAACGCTGCTGATGATGGGGCTGGGTTTTGCGCGCCGCCAGCTCGTCCCCCACTAGCTGAAACGAGTAAGCGACAACAGAGGATGGAAAACGACCCCTACGAACGATATGATGCAGTGTTGTCGTCTGAAAAAAGGGACGGCACCCTACCAAGCCTATCCCCTTAACAGGCCCCATTTTCCGTTGCGAACAAGATCGTAAGCATTCAGAATTCCCTCCTCGAAATTATAGCAAATTAGTGGTCTAAAGTCCCGTAGCTCTACAGTAGTTAATGTCTATCTGTCGCATCAGCAAACATTGAGAAGGGGCAAAGCAGCGATCGCGGCGGATTATTGTACGGTCAACGAAGATAACGTGAGGGTTTGAAGGTCCAAAGGGCAAAAACTAACTTATCAAGTACTTCCAGGTGACAAAGAAAAACCAAGGTGATCGAAATGGCTTCCTCGCTGAGGAGATCGCTTTTGAAATGCGCAGTGCATTCGACTTCCCTCAAGAATTGTAGTGCACTTAAATGCTATTTGGTCTACATGACGACTAGCGCGTTCGAGCGCCAGTTGTCACCACGCTACTTCACCATCGCAGAAAATAGCGCACCTATTGAGCTTAAAAAAATGGAAATATGACCAAATCATAGCAATCAACGCTGTAGCTCACGGTTACGAGGGTGTTCTATCATATTCATAGCTTTGAACCCTACCACACCCACAGTGACAGTCTAAGATAGGGAGTCATACTAAATATAGGGCTAAAGTTTAATCGATTCTGGAAAGCGCGAAGAAAGTAAGGGAAATCCCCTCTTAAATGCACAGTCCGCTTTGGACGTATGCAAGTCTATCTTCTTCACATCTTATATGGAGGGGACTCCAGTGAGGAACGCACAATAGTTCTCTGTCTCCGCCCATTCCGTTATCGCGTAACATATCGCGTAACAAAAAAGTATTGCATTAGTTTATAATCGACATACCTCCCACCTCAAAGCATGAAGAAGCACCTAAACGTCATCTGACCGCTGGAAGGACATAACTATGTCAGGAAGGATTATGAAAAATGGGGTGCCCACCGCAACGCAAAGCGCTGTTCTAAAGGTGTTGACGTGGAATTTAAGACAATAAGCTTGAGATGAAAGAAAATTTGAAAATATACAGAGAGAATGGGGAATTTAACTTGCTCTGGCCTGGGATCTTCTCCAGTCCAAGTTCGGCGAGAAAATCAGTTTTTGACATGAATACCAGAGAGATAAATAGAACAGCTGCTGAGCAAAATAAACTGGCATAGAAAGATGGGAGAAAGGATTTTCACAGAGTCCAGTTTGATGAAGAAGCCTCCTCTGAGAGTTTCTAGGCCGTATTACAGCATAGTTACAGACCTCTGACCAAAACTCGGGCTAACGTCTAGTTTTTCCTGTGCACAGCAGCAGCCAGCCAGCCGAGCAGGTGGCGTAATACGAGAAAGAACATTGTTCGCAAGCAAAAGTTCTCCAGACTAGCCTGAAAGGATGAGAGAAAGCAAGCTGAAGGATGAGGAGAGGAAAAAAACGAACAGATGACTAGCACTCGAATTATTGTTTATTTTAATCGAGGGTGGTGAATGATTGGCGCCCGTCCACAACCCTTTTAGGAGCCATTGCTAGGCGTTTCGGCAATTATTTCCTTGTCATTTCAAGAAGTTGGGTGATTGTTTCAAACTATCAGCGTTAAATTGAAATTCATTTTACTTTTCATAGGAAAAGAGGAAAGTGGCAGGTGGCCGCCTTGAAAGATCATGAAAAGATCAGGGAAGGGGTGTAGTGAAGCTGTGAGTGAACTGCGGGTGACAAAAACCGCAGTGCACTTGGTCTGGGCGTGCTCATGTCAATGGGCCATCCAGCATTTGTCATGGCGCTGACATATGCATTACAATTATTGATCTTACTGATAGATGAATGGATTTCCCGGAAAAAACCGCTTTGAGAATCTCACCTGAGATTTCTAAGGAATGGAAAACCGTCTTGGTAACCGTACGGGAAGCATGGATTTACTTGGGAAAAACTGAAAGTACGCCACCAAAGAGTACAACTCGGAGAGGGTAGCCCAATGTCCCTCGGGTCACTTAAGTGTTCTGCTGAAAGTTCAGCTGAATCCGTACCCCTTACAAGTGTTTCATACCATACCGTTCATGAATTTACGATAAACGGGGGCAAGGTAGTCCCTGCGGTGAAGACTGAACCTACCAGTCCAGTTCCAGCAGTTCTTCAGTGGGTAAAGGAGAATCCCTTCATTCCCAGTCCAGAAATTGACCACTTCTTCAGTAAAGATCCCAA